GATGTCTGCAGTACAATAAAGCAAATTATAGGCAAAATAACAGTTTTATCATATATCATATTGGTATAATGTCCATGCTTACTTTTTCCAATAGGCCTATGCAATATATTAAGGTTTTTAATTTGCACTAATGGCATTATCAATATTTCTAGGTTATTTATTAATTCTTTACAGATCAGTTATAAGTCATATAAACAACTTTTGTGACTTGCTTTGTCTTTTTAATCTTTCTATTTAATTCACCTGAAGGCTTCCTCCAATAGAGAGTTTGACCTCTGACCTTTTGGCAAAGAGCTGTACAACATCAGGATAATAATTAATTTATGTACAACAACAAAAATATATAACATCAGACATTGATTACTGTAATAAACCTTTATTAATGATTAATATTTATAATTACACTTCACTTTCTAAGTTGCCTTATTAATACACGACAAACTCATGACCCTTCATTAATTTATTATTTATTGATGGACTTGATATTTAACACTCTTCATTTTGACTTAAAGTAATGACAATAACTTTCTTTTTTTTTAAAGTATATTTGGCTTTTATTGCCTTTTATTATAGTGACAGCTTAAGATAGACAGGAAAGGGGGCAGAGAGAGGATGACACGCAGCAAAGGGCCGCAGGGTCGGATTCAAACCCCTGGGCCGCTGCATCAAGGACTACCCACTGAGCTAACCAGGCACCATGACAATAACTTTCAAATAAACCAATAGACTTGCTGGATTATTAGAAAGTTGGTTAGTTGAATAAGGAATATTAATAAGTCAGCAGTCGGAGAAGGTTTTCACAACCTGGCAACCCAAAAAAGTTTGTATTAATCGATTACAACTGACCTATGAAGCATTATTAAATTATTTATTACCCGTCAACCAAGCCATGTATCCTGACTTATTATTAGAAAGTGGTACTAATTCTGAAATATATTTTAACACATTTTAAAATCATACTTCTAGCTGGTTAAGGCAATGTGAAAACAGTTTATTCAAGCAGCAAACCCTTATAATTCAGGTTAAATTTCAGGACCATGGCCAGCTCCAGTTCAGCACCAGGGTCAGCTCTACAGCTGTGTTCAGTCTTGGATCAGAACCAGACTGTACACAGCCTGTATGATCAGAACCATGAGAGGAGAGGGTCATAAAATACCTAATGATACTGTATATAGACCATGTGCTATATGTCTTATCATGGACTTATGCCATGTGTTTTCTACAATATTTATGTGGTTCTCATAATCCAAATAATGGGGTTCTGTTTACTCCATAATACATAAAAACAAAATAAGAACTCATTCAGAGGTATAATTATGAAACATAGTTATGCAAAGCTGCACATTGTTGTTACACTTCACCAGTTTACCTCTGTGTATTTTAAGATAGGTGCTAATATCCCATAATTACTTTGCTGTTTTCACATGGGTTATTATTCTGTTATTATAAATTGACATCCTTGAGATGCTAAAGCTCTTTAACACGCAGGATCACATTTAATAAGATCCTATTGATGAAAACGCCAATATTGAATATCGAATCAATCAATCGCGTTCAGTCTAATGAGCTATAGTACACTTTTACTATATGCATTATTGTACAGTAGCTCAGTGGTTGCACCGTTTTTTATTCTCTCTCTCTCTCTCTCTCTCTCTCTCTTTACGCAGCTACTCCACACGGCTGCGCATCCCTGGACGGAGCTGTCAGGAAAAAAACTCCCAGGAGCATGAGGCAGGCTGATAGATTTGGGGAACTGCTTTCCAGGTGAACACTGTTAGACGAAGAGCTGAAGAGCCACGGAGGGACCAGTCCTTGTCCCGGACGCGAGCTGCTGCAAGAATCCGCTGGAAGCTCGACTTGTGTTGGTTGTTTGGTGTGATTTCTCTACACTTTCCACTCTGCAGACGTTATCCAGAGGCGACACTGCTGCTGCTTTAGTAGTTTAAGCAGCTGCCGGGGTTTACAGCAGGGTTATTGCAGCCCTTGGAAAAGATCTGGCGTGTGTAGAGACTCACGTAGGCATAGCGGAGTCGTTGCAGGAGGTGATGCAGAAGTGAGGACGGGGTTTGGGTGAATTTGTGGATCTCAGTGGCATCGTTTCATTGTGCAAATTAAATCAATAACTGTTCTGAAGATCGCCCCCCCAAGACTGAAGTCCGGCAACCTCCCATCTTTCTTCCGTGTTGCCGTCACCATTGTGCAAGGACTATGTTAATGAAGGAGTACCGCATCTGCATGCCTCTCACAGTGGAGGAGGTAGGTGAAGTTTTCTTGGCTCTTGTGATGTTTTGTGTCCTGCTCCGCCTGCTGGTGTTCTTCTCTTCCGTCACTGATCCGTAACAGAGTAGTAGAGTTGCATATCAGCACATTTTTGTTGGATTTGCTGTAGTTTTTTTTTCTACTGTGGAACCGATTATTGCAAAGTTGTCAGTGGTGGTGCGCGTATCGTTTTGCACCTAAGGACAAATTGAGCTACTACCACCGAGGTGCGCTCAGGTAGCCGCCGCGGGGTGGAGCTGCTGTTGTCTCTCCAGTAGCCTGTGCTGCTTTGTGTGTCGTGCAGTTACTGTTAGTGAGAGTGTGAACAACAGCAGCAGCTGCAGCAGAGTGGTTATTATAGGTAGTGAAGTACAAATCCTGCATCTGCTTTGCTTTGAGTGTTTGGATTGTGGTGCTTTGTGAGTGGTTCAGAGTAATGTATGTAGATTAGAAAAAAACCTTTCTACCTCAGCTCGCAGCTCTTGTTCTGTTTCTTCTCTTTCAAACACCACTCTTCATTTTTGATTATGCCTCCATCACGAATTATAAGGATACAAAGGTGTTACCTCTGTATTCCTTATTTTTATGTTGCAGGAATTGATGCTTATGCATTATAAAGTATATTGCTCTGTCTCTGTGCATACTTCTGATCATATTTAAGTTGTAGAGACACATTCACACACATTATTTGTGTTTGGAGATGGGAATAAGGTCAAAGAAAGGATGAGGGAGAGCTCATCTGCGGACCGAAGTACCCCTCAGGTCTCCGTGACACAGAAGCAGCTTAACAAAAGAGATATTCTGCTGTGTTTTGACATTTCACAGTGCCAATAAGATCCATTTTTTCTTGAACATTCAGTGCTCAGCTCAGTTCTGACTGTAGTTATTTGATTTTTGCTTGGTCCTGCTCCTGTCTGTCCTTCATCTGTTCTACATTTTTATGGACTGGCATTGATCACATGAATGGGCACCCTTGTGTCGTGTCTATACTTTTTTCATACAGTGGTGGTATGTGATGTTATAAGAGGTGTAACACATTCTTTCCAGTGTTACCTCAACCTAAACAACAGATGTTCCATTTGAGGTGTTTTATTGAGTTTACCTGTGTCATAAAGGTTTTACACACCATTTAACCCAGGTTATGGTGTGACACGAGATGTCACTGGGAGTCAGTGCACTTCTGAATAAGTGTGTTACCATAGTGGTTTACAGCGTCACTACCAATAAATTGTGAATAAGTCAACTGTGGAGTTTGTGAAGATACAGCCTTCACTACAGTCAAGCAAAGCCCATTGTTGTGTTTTAAGGTTGGCTGAGTGAGGATACAATTGGAGTCATCAGTACTTGAACAGCCTCTCCTGAAATCTATTGATGCTTATTTTGCCCGATTGTCCTGCTTTGGGACCTTAACATTTTTTTTACCAGGATGCTGCTTTATCACGTATTGTCTTATGGCAATATGGCTGACATCTGTTGTTGATGATAACCCCAATGATGATAATGGGATCTGACCTATTCTATTGATCTGTAATTTACTTGAAAAATGGACATTTGTAATCTATTAATTTTTTGCAGCAATGCAAGTGCACACCCACACACTCACAGACACATAAATCATACATTCATCATCAGAAGAACTGGGAATGACAAAACAGTAATTATGAGTGGAACTCTCCCAGCTTAAAGGAGTGTTTAGAAAATGATTTTCCAATGCAAACACAAAGTACAAGAAAACCCATTTACTGCTCTTTACTATTCAGTTCAGCAGAAACCAATGACAGTTTCAAGTGTCAATTTTCTTTCAGTGGTGCTGTCACCTGTACTGCTGCTATGTGCTCCTGTCAAAATTGGACGCATTAAAAACACTTCAGACACAATCAGTATAATGCATTTTTCCTTGGATTTATGATGAGTAATGACTCATTTAGTGCTTTGGTGTCCTGGTTATAGTGTATGCATTGCTTACACAACCCCCTTATAAGAGTCACAAATCAGAATCTCCTCGAATGGCATTGCAGCATGAGAGCAACATGCTCCTATTCAGATGAATATGAGTCTCGTAGTGAAGTGAACTGTTTTGTTGCACAAAGACATGACTAGATAGTAGTAGAAGTCAAAAGTTCAGTGTTGTCATCAGCAATCCTCAATAGGCTCTGCAGGAGACTCTTCAAATGGCGATTAAGTTGAAGCACTGCTGAGAAAACAAATTGGAGACACTGTCATGATGATCTCTTCATGGTAGAAGGGCAATTCAGTTTGTTGGGGGGGGTTATTTTACAAAGAAAAAGCTGCAGTGCTCTTTTCTTTCATGCAGATAATATGCAAGGTTCCGAGTATTCTGTTCATGATGTGCATTTATTTGTGTGATTTATATTGCTTCAGTGCATTTAGGACTAACATGTAGCTCTACATTGTTAAATTCATGTTAATTACAGTATGAATGTTATTTGTTAAACAGGCATGTGACATAGTTTGATGGTGGACTTTGATTTTCACAGTCACTTTAGTTTCATTGATCTTGAGGTTTCTCCTCTAATTGTATTTGTGTGTGTGAAGATTCAGTTTAGATACTGTATGTTCTTAGATCAACATTATCTGTCACAGTTGAAATGAAAAGTATTTCTGTCTTAGTGCCTCTGCTGGTATACACTGCAAACATTTCAGTCCCTTTAATAGGATGAGAGAGGCCAGAGGATGTATATGTCACAATATAAACCCAAAGGCTCATATCATTTGTGATCATGTCAGTCATTTTGTAGCCACAGAAAGAAAGAAAAAGTCAGACAAAAAACCCAAACAAGTCACTTCACAGAATTTATTGTTGAATCCATTTCCAGTTGTGTTTGATGTTCCTTTTAGTAAAAGAAAGAGAGAAGCTTTTTGAAGTTTGGAATCAACAAACATACAAACGACAAAAAGGATGTGTAAATCCTAAAATAACAATGACATAGATACATAAGACTTTTTCTTGCAATGGTCTCTGCCTTCTTGCGTGAAGTATAGTGCTAACACTAAGCAGCCTCAATGGAAGCTTATCTTCTACTGCAGCATGAGAGACTGACACCTGTTTTGATTACAGTGACTTCATTCAGTCAGTGTAAGGTCAGTCTCTGGGGGTTTCCATATGTCTGTTTGTGTCCCTGCACACTGAGATGCCCCACAGCCCTTCTAGGCTCAGTCCCAAAATCTTGTTTACGTCCCCAGAGGAGAGACTCTGACTAACGGGAAGCCTGTTCCTTCGTTTTTCCCCGAGGAGCTCATGGCTCAGCCAGACAGTGACCTGGCTCACACACACCAGATGGAGAGAAACATGCTTACTCAGATGATCTGCCAGACGTCAAAGGATGAGCCAGAGAGAGAGAGAGAGAGAGAGAGAGAGAAGGCATGTGTGTTGAGAAGGTGATTGATTGCTTTGGGTAACTGTCTGAGTCTGCCTAAATCAGCATGATTTTGTATACAATATACAGATATTGAGGCAGTTTAAGGATGTGGCATCCCTACACCGTGATTAGCACAGGGGGGAAACAGCTAGCTGGCTCTGTCTAACAGTAATAAAAACATCCTACCAGCATCTCTGTACAGTAGCTCACTAATAAACATGTTATATCTTGTGTGTTCTTCTAATGTTTCTTTACTGTTTATACGTTGGTATCGGTACAACGTGCTGTTAGGTGGATTTTGTTTGTTTTGTTTGTCAATCTTAGCAACTAACTCTCAGCAAGAGAGAAAATGTTAATTTATTCCTTTAAGTTCTAGTAAAACTACATTTATTAAAGTCAAAACTGGTAAATCTGGTTTGGTGTACTGCTGCTAAAACCCCTTTTATGCATTAGTATTGTACTGAGTTGAAAATGTCTGTTATCAAGTGTTCTCATCTGATTTATTTGCTTCTATTTCATTATTTTTATTCTCTGTATCTTTTTCTAATATACCTTTGCGCTAGAACAATACAAACTAGTTTCTCCAAAGGGATCCATTACTGTTCCTGATTGCTGTCTAATGATATCTTCAGTACCCACTAAAACATATCTCACATACAGCTATGGAAGATTCATTCTGACATTCCTTTTCAGATTACATTGAGCAATGCTTTCACTGCCTCATTAATTACCATGCAGTTTCTTCCGCAATTAATCAACATTCACTGTCTTTTCTGCACCTGAGCAGCAGTTGAATTGCCCTTACTGCTTGCTTGATCAGCTCCTGAGTAATGAGCTTTGCAACATGGATTGAGAGAACAAGAACATCATCTTTGCACTGTTAAAAGACAGGGGAAGTGCCTGTTTGCCCTCATCATTTACTAAAGGCACTAGTCTAAATTAGCCCCCTGAGTCATTAAAATGGAGCTTGGTTCCACTTTCCGTCAGTGCTAGTGGTTAAGTTACTTATCAGATTGGCCTTGGTTCTTCATTAAAAACCTTAAAGATCACCTCTGATAATGCCTCTCCATGATGTAGAGGACATCACAGGAAAACAGCCATTCATTCCTCATTCCTCATTAGTCCAAACGCATCATAGTAACTGTAAGAAACTCCAGATATTTTCTGAATGAACCGTACTGTATGTCACCTGCTAATGTTTTCCAGTAACAAGTTGCATCAGTTGCTTTCGCTGTTGGGCTGGGTTCAACGGTCTGTACTCAATGTGTGTAATTTGTGTATATCTTCCAACAATAGTCGATTCAATATGACTGTTTCATTCCCCCACTGGGATCAGTTCATCAGTTCTCTACCTGCAGTCTGTGTGATTATTTATCTGCATGCAATTACTTAAATTGCTTCCATTTGCCTGATTTCTAGTTATCCAGCTGCCAGCATGCTGCCTCATAGAACAGCACCCACTGTGCAGATAATTGAAACCCTGGTGGTATTTTCGATGTTATTGCGCACAAGCTTTGTCTCAGATTATGGTTTCTCTATTAAAGCTAATTTTCTGTGCTTCTCCGGATGAGAACCTTTCTCTGTGCGTTGCTGTGTGTGTTGCTGTTTTCTCTGTAA